AAAGCCCAAATAAGCGTGACAAGAGCACGACGGAAACGTCATCTCTTTGACCCTATCCGAACGCTTCCCAGTCGCTTCGTGATATTACTGAAACAAGTTACGTGATGGCAGCAAGTATGATGTCATTCTTTGTCTTCATGCAGTAACCTTTAAGCGGCGCGCATTTGAGTGACTAACCCTCCACAGCCCAAAACTCAACTATACTCTTATGATGTTGAACAGATCACCTATTCCACCCCCGGAGTATCTGCAATGCGGAAAACATACTTCATAGCACTTGCTCTCCCGTCCTTCAAGTCTCTTAATGCTTCTTCAACCCCTTCGAGACCCCCTGGCCTGATCTCAAAAGGATGGCCAGAGAGACCCCCGTTTTGAAGTGCTCTAGATATGTAGCGGGAAAAGACGTATCCGAGCTCTTCATTGTTTTCGAATTCAGGCTGGTTGTGAACTGAACCCACCGAGGTAACGGATTTAGTCGCGGGAGCCACATCAAAATCGTTAGGCAATATAAAATCAATTTGCCCACCAGGGGCAACGACTCTTCTTAGAACCTCTGCACTCTGAGGAACTATGGCAGCGTCAATTGCGTGCCAGACAGAAGTATGGCCAGCTTGTTTGAGACTGCTGGATATACCCTTCGCGGTTGCCTCTACTCCTTGACGGTAGTCAACTATTGTGTCACCTTTGCTCCGGTCGATAAGGCTTTCCACGTAGTGAGATCCTTTCCCCGCAACAGCAATAATAGGATGAACATTGCTATTGCATGCTAGTTTAATAGCATAAGAGCCGACCGCTCCACTAGCACCATAAACGATAAGTGGAATTGGGTTTAGAGCAGGAGTCCATGGCGATGGCAGCCGGTGATGTGCGTATAAGGATACAGCAGCAGTTAAAGCTGCTAGGGGAATCGTGGCGGCCTCTGTTGTATGTTAGTCGACATAGAATCACAAGATATCTGCTAGTCGCACCTTCAAAGCTTATGTGATTTGGTAAATGAAAGGTGGTGTGACTCCAAGAGATTGCATATTCTGCATAGGAACCACCTGTTGTGCACATCTCATGAAATGCTGCAACACGGTCACCTGGCTAGAGGACGAATTTGAGAGAATGTCAACAATTGAACAGGAGCTGTACTTACCTTGAACTCAAAAACATTAGAGCCCACTTTTTCGACGATACCTGCAATATCATCTCCTTGGTTTAGCCCGGCCTTGGCTGCCTGGAACATAGCCATGTTAGAGTCCCCAGCTGCTACTATATCCGGGATTTTCCAGTCTTTGGGATTCGATCCGGAGACTATAACTTTAATGAGAATCTGGTCATCGTTTGGTTCAGGAATTGGACTGTCCACGATCTTTACAACCGGCCCAGCAAAGTTAATGGCTTCTTTCATAGTGTGGAAATGACAAATGTAGTGAATGTAGAAAAGTAGACAGAAAAGATTGTTAGTATTGCAATGCAGGGTATAGCTTCGAGGGAACTGTATTAATACTTTTAATATTGTAGCAGTCTTGAATTACCATTAATAATTATTGTCATTGCATCACCATTAATAATCCTCAAGACATTGTTCATCTCTATTTGCTGTGGTAATTAAGCTGACCCGTACTCTACGACTAAGCATTCAGTGACCAAGGTGAGCAAGAGTGATTACTAAGGCCTTTATGTGAAGTAACTATCTCCCCAGAAATCCCACCCAGTCTTCCCACCCGGTAATCCCACCGCTGATCACGTCATCAAAATTTGGGGTCGCCCAAATCTCAAGTGAATGAGTGATGGATTACGATAGCACCGTTTAAGCTGACAATTTCTCCGCAGCTCCCACCGGTTATCCCACCGGTTATCCCACCGGCTATCCCACCGGCCTCCCACCGGCCTCCCACAGTCAACACGAGTACGGACGGCGTGGGCCGATTGCATCTCGTAAGTCGTTCTAGCAATTCCGACCTCCTTTCGATAACGTGCCTCAGTATCCAATCGACATATCCCTAAAACCGAGTTACTCGCTGTATACCATGACGCAGACTGACCACAACTTCGAGATACACAGCCACATTGGGTAAGGTCTGAAGTTGCTAGGTCTAGGCTGGCGATGGATACCTGACCCCTGGGTATATAGATACCACAGAAGACCTGGGGCAACCCGGGATCCACGGGTCCAAGTGGAGCCAGGTCTTCAGTACATCAAAGGATTACAGATGCAAATTAAGCGGAAGGAAGGAGGCAAATGAACTGGACACGCTGTTCTCTTTTTGGCAGGACTGGCTTTGGCCTGGCGCTGTCGAGTTAGTGCCTCTCATCGGCGTATTCGTAGCCTTTCATCTCGAGTAGTTGCCTTGTGGCGTAATTTGGTTGAGTAGTGGACTTGGAGTGATGATGCGCTTCGTTCGGGGAAGTGCGCAGCAATCTCCGCCCATGGCATTCCCTCTCTTTCCTTCAGTCGCACCAACAGTGCGTTTTCGTCTGAGGTGTATGGCTTTTGTTTTCCAGAAGTATCGGCCGAAGGGGTCTGAGTCAGCATCGGACTAGCGTCAGGAACGAATGTGAGATAATATGCTGGTTTCTGTCCACTGGATTCCACTGTGAGGATGGCTCTCCCGTGGACCTCGTGCATAGCACGGGAGCAATCACATGGAACGGGGTCTGAACCGCCCAGTGAATGACGAAGAGACTTCGCCGTAGGTTTTGATTTCTTCTTCGGGCGCTGTCGAGTTGCGCCAGGACTTGATACTTCGGGATCCTGGTGGTCGTCGCCGTCGCGACTAGATCGAAGCCGTTTCTTGCAAGTCAACGCGGTGACCCTTGTGGTTGCCCTGGCAACTTTTCCTCTCGTCCATGGAGGTGCTGGTACAACCACAGCAATCGATGGGTAGGATTCCGGCCTATCGACGATCGGAGTGGTTATGCTAGCGGAGTATTCTGGACTAGAGCGTGCGTTCGACTGATAAGGTTGGCAGGATGGTGTGGACTTTCCCTTAGCGGCCTCGGGATTTTTGGTCTGCTCTGTAGCATTTATTGTCGTTAAGCATGAATCTCTATCCTGATCTGGGCTGCAAGGTGGCCCGTGTGTAGCATGGTTATCTGGTTCTTGCCGAGAATCACCGCACACGGAAAGGCTGCCAGACGCAATGCCGGCTGCTTCAGATGCAGCTGCAGGCGACAAGGAGTGGCGAGGAGTTGCCTCGTCAATGGTAATGAGAATATTACCGGACAGAGCATTTCCTTGCTTGAGTTTGTTTGTTGGCGACGTCGGTGTTGTGAAGTCTTCAAATGCTGGTGGCTCTGACAATGATAGGGAGCAGTTTGTGAGATCCAATGGAGTTTCAAGAGTTCCTGGTATATCTGCAGTAACCAAGGACTTGCTTTCTGTGATCGCTTGAGGTTGAGATGCAGCTCCGCCATTGAAATTGGTTAACGCGACATCAAACGCATTCCGTGACTTTGTGATACCAGTGGAGGACCATTCATGCGTTAGGGGTGCGGGAGAGTCTGCTGTATTCGCCGGTGCCGGTGCGTTTTGGATGAAGACAGTCTCAGTGGGAAAAAAAGAACGCTGAAAAGGCCGTCGAACATGGGCTAGAGCTGGCCGCCTTTCACTGGTAGAGGCCAATGTGCTTCGCGGCTGCTTGGGGCTGGGGCCATAGTAGAACTCCATTTGATCAAGATTCACTTGCATATCTCCGAAAGCTCCCTGGCTCACAGCAGGTGCAAGTTTCAATGGTTACGGCAGTTGTGGAAGAGAGTCGAAAGGGGGCAGATCAGATGATATATTCGATGGTTGCTCTGAGCAAAAGTCGAAGTGTCGATAGCATTTATAAGACGAGGCGGTCCCAAAGGATCGTAATGCGGTGCAGCTGCAGGCAAACTCCATCGGCCGCTCACCATGTTCGGGCAGCGTTTCGAGCGGATCGCCGAAACCTCTCGGCCAAAAAGGACAAAAAGAGTGTCCGCCGTAGGAGTGCCTGGTTTACTTAATCGCGAATTGACCGTGTGACGATGCAGCGTTGGTATGTTGCTGCAAATAATACAGAATAGGGCAAAGATCAGCCCAAAAAACATTCCCATTTGGCCAGCAACAGCGCATTGCTCGCAGCCTACTCTAACCATGAGAGCCCAAAGACTATCAAAAAGCACCAGCTCAGCCGCAGCGTTCCATGAGGCATTTTTGCGGTTGGCTATGGGTTTGAAAGCCGACCCGCTGGCCCATAACTTGAAGTAAACATGCATGTTCAGCGACGGCCGGTTGGAGAGGAGACACCCTAGCTCGAGTGTTGTGTTGCATTCGCAAACCAACGTCAGGCATTTTGGGGGCCGGTGCAAGCCACCCTAGAGCATAGAGTCAGGATTGGTTCCACTCCGCCTTCTCCCTTTTCCATCGTTTTCTGTCCACGGCGTGAGGAAGGCCAAACATCAAGGCTATAGAGTACGCAAGATGTGAAAGCACTGTAACCCAAGACATCCATCCAATACCTAACAAAGTAAAACAATTCAAGAGACAGCAGACACCCTTTTACCGAATACAGTGGGATAAAAGAAATTGCCCGTCGAATCGACAGGCTGACAAAATGATCCGTCTTCAGTCTCCTTCGAAACAGGCGTCTCCATCCAATTTCGCGATTGGAGAAGGGGGCTGTGCTGCAGATGCAGACTTTTCAGCTGACAGGGGACACGTCAGCCGACCAGGGATATTGTTGTTGCCTGGACTTCCGGGGGAAATGAAACTGTTGGAAAAAAGAGCGTCGTCGTTGAGCGACGCACCGCGGGTTTATATAGATCGAGGAGGCAGCGAGACGGGCGGTAGTGGACGGCAGATCCCGTTCAGGGATAGTTCATAACACTAAACCTGATACGGGGAAGCTAAACCGCAAACGAGAGACGCTATACGGGATACGGCGCGGCGGACACAAGCGCCAAACCCAAAAGAGGGGGCGGCCGAAAAGAACTCAGCAAATCGCATTTCTACTTTATATCTCTTTAATAGCAGATGTTAATATAACACCGTCAGTGTGGCCGAGTGGTTAAGGCGACAGACTAGAATTCATCTTATTGGCTAGAGTTCTTAGCCTATCTGTTGGGTTCGCCCGCACAGGTTCGAATCCTGTCGCTGACGAAATCTTTTTATTCTTTTTGCTCTCTTTCCGTGTTGTTCATAGTAGAAGGGAAGGAAGGGCAATTGATTTCTATATAGACCCATCGGAAAGCATTATCATAGCGGGTTCCATTATGTCAAGGCACCATTCACAGTTCCCTCTTTCGTCGTCTCGTTTCTTGTTATATCTCGAGGACGAAACCAATTCTGACTTCCAACCTGGAGCGGCAATCGCCGGTCCTATCACAACTAATAATGCTGTTAGCTGGGGACAAGAACCGGCAGACAGTCGCAACATCGAGTGTTATGTTTTTCCGAAGTCAATAATGTGTATCCATCATCGCAAGCCTAGAAAGATAATGAACCAATGGTCTGATGGCTTGATATTGACATTTGGAAAGCAGAAACCAAGGCCTCAAGAATGAAGTCCAGCAACAGATACCAAATCAAGAAACTAAGTCCAAAAAATAGGCTTGCCGCTATTCCTTCTAACTATTTTCTAGGAGGTTCTTACGACTCCAAGGGCCTAGAGGGTGAACGGGCCACTGAATGGTGTCCTGTGAAAATCGGGATAGTGCCTAGTACGCAGTATATCTCGGACGGACCGACGGCATCTATTAGCCGGGTATTTCGGATATCCGATCTTATGTGTCGATTAGCGTGGGTTAGCTGGTGTGCAGTTTCTTTTCATTCACATCTTCCCAATCCCGTCTCACTCTAGAGGGCCGCTAACGGTGTACTGACTACTTCAAATCAACACGCCGGAAAGTGACAAAACCGAGAACAATAATGGCTATAAGATCCAATAGCTGACGACGATAATGATACCTGGCTTGTCTACCAATCTCGCAATAATCTAGTGTGCCGAATTAGCGTGGTAGATCAGCAGAAGGCAGGTTCCGTACGCGGGTCTGGCTGGCCGAACGGCCTGAAGTTAATAGTAAATAAGCAAGGATCCAAAGCTGCTGAAGCATTCATTGGAATATAGAGCCAGAGTGGACGACGAAGAAAGTAGTAGTCTTGTATTAGGAATATGCACGTCAAGACACCAGTTACACAACCAGGTTGGCGTGCTCGCATAAATCCTGAGCGGAGCCTGCGGCACAGAGAAACCTGGCTACGAAGTAGAAGCACTGATTCATCTAACCTGTGTCACCACATGTCAGGTTTTTACATATAGTTTCCTGGTCCTGAACCTACTTGAGTAAGACGGGTAGCTCCGGCCTGAGTTTCAACTAGACTGATTCTCCAGATTTTATGACTTTTGGGAAAAAGACGACTATTCGATCTTGCTCGGCCATCAACCTCCCAAGATCAAATCCACTCAATCGGTTTAGTCTTATACAGACATTTCACAAATACATTGATCGACATGGCAGCTTCTAAGAAGAACCTTCGCGTCATCATAGTTGGCGGTTCAATCGCTGGCCTGACACTCGCTCACAGCTTACAGCGATGCGGCATTGACTTTGTCGTTCTGGAAGCAAACGATGACATAGCACCGCAGGTTGGAGCTTCAATTGGATTTTTTGCGAATGGAGCCCGGGTCCTCGACCAGCTGGGAGTCTTCGATGATGTGTTGGAGGAAATTGTACCGGCGAAGACCGTATACTACTGGTCCGATGCAGCTAAGCTTATCGCCAAAGAGGGATGCCGTATACTCGAAGAAAGGTAGGGGAAGCTTCGTGAGCCATACCAAAGCAGGTTACAATGATTCTAAATTTTATCTTTATACAGACACAACTACCCGATTGCCTTTCTAGACCGCCAGATTATGCTTCAAATCCTCTACGATCATCTCGGAGACTCTCAGGACCGCGTACATTTGAGCAAGAAGGTTGTTCGGGTGGAGAACTTACCCACAGAGGCTGTGGTTCACTGTGCAGATGGCTCGGTATTCGAAGGGGATTTAGTGGTCGGAGCGGATGGTGTGAGGAGTACTGTCCGAGAAGAGATGTGGAGGCATATGGAGTCTCTGGGATTGACGAAGGAGGTTTCAAAAGAAAAAGCTAGTATGTCCGACCCCCGGAATGATTTCCTGACTCCGCCCAGATACTTATACGGGTCTGATAACTCTAGCGATGATGTCCGAATATTCGTGTGTATTCGGTATCTCGAATCCTACACCGGGTCTAAATCCTGGAGATGGCCATCGAACCTATGCGAACGGTTACTCTACGCTTACGATTGGCGGCAAGGAAGGCCGCATTTACTGGTTCCTTTTCGCAAAGATGGATCAGTCATACCCCGGCTCAAACGTTCCCAGGTTCAATGAGCAAGATCTCGAGAATCACATTGCCAAGTATCTGCAAATACCGATCACGTCAACCGTTCCATTTTCTGCTGTCTATGAGAGGGTTGAAAGCAAATCATATATGTGCTTGGAGGAGGCCTTTTACCGCTACTGGAGTGTGGATCGCTGTGTTTGCATTGGAGATGCGATGCATAAGGTATGTCCGATCAGAGAGATACTCTAGGTATGAGAGAATGCTAACAAATGGATCTTCCGATAGATGACGCCAAACATCGGCCAGGGTGGCAACAGCGCAATTGAAACTGCTGCGTCTCTAGCAAATTGTCTCGCTCGCCTGGTAGAGCCTTCCGATGGAGACGACTTAGTTTCTCTCCACAGCATCAAAGCCGGTCTCCAGGACTGGCAGAAGGCACGGCAAACGCGCGCCAAAAGTATTTTGACTGTGGCAAACAATATAACCCGGCTTGAGGCGGGCGCAACGCTCAAAGACAAAATCGTCTCACAATATCTGCTACCCTACTTAGGTGACTATTTTATGGACAGTTTGTCCAAGATACTTGTCTCCGGCGAAATTCTCGATTTTCTCCCCTTGCCTCCAAGAGCCGTGGAGGGTACTATGCCGTATGTCAGACGATCCGAGCAGGTCAGTAACTCCGGCGTGAAACGCGTGCTATCGTGCATGCCTCTCATGGGATGCTATGCGTTTGCCCACATCTCAATGAACTTGTTGCTCGGGAAGGTTTTTCCAATGGTCATACCCATATTGCAACAAGGCGCTTGGACTGCAAGCAACGGGGAGGTGCTGAACCTCTCAGAGCCCTTGTATAACATTTCCTTTCTGGACAAGTTCTTTGGGCCCTTGGTCACCTGTTTTCTACCATCCATTAGTGGCTCTCACCCTCGATCATACACGCATATGCTGACCTTCTTGACCGACGTGGGCCCAATTTATGGGATCTGGCTCTTGGAGAGCTACCGCAAAGCCCACTCCTGGACTGAGATAGCGCTGTAAGTGAATCTAGATTATTATCAACACCACCACCCATGAGGTATGCTGACAATTAGGTGACCACAGCCCAATAGTGATGGGCACAGCATTCCAGTTTAGAGGAATCGGACTGATTGCTCCCATCTACTTCCTGGTTGAGCATTTGCGCACTCCGCTCGCCAAACTCCTCAACGGTCGCCATGAGATAAAACCAGACACCCTAGGATCGTTCCTACCCGCTATGCTTGCCGGATACTATGTCCCCAACTTCGGGAATTTCCTCCCCAAGACGGTCGCGATGCGCCGGCACTTCAACGCCCTGTGGCAGATATTCCCAGTCACAGTTCCATTATTCCAGACTCCATTCCGTCTGCTAGAGAAGTTCGCATCCCAGTCCGCCCAACAGCCACAGCAGCAGAAGGAAGAAGCAAAGCAAAACTCCACCAGGAATCTCCGCTACGTTCGCTGCATGTACCTGTCTCTCGCCCTGATCTCAGGAGTAACCTTCATCCATGCTCGTCGCACTCTACCGGAGGGTGCATCCATTACGAGTTTGATCTTACCCGGTCTGCAGGAGTACAAATTGCCGATTTCCTCCTTTGCCGAGGGTATTGCAACGTTTCTCAAATATGACGAGACGATCGCCGTGGCAAGTGGTTTTGTCTGGCTTGGTTTGAAATTTAGGGAACTAAAGCAGTTTGGGTATCCTGTTTCGTGGTGGCAAGTCATTGGCGGATTGGCCGGGACGACTGCGGCTTTTGGCCCTGGGGCTGCTATTTCTCTAGGCTGGGGATGGAGAGAGGAGATTTTGGCGAAGATTTGGGGTGAGCCGAAGCCACATCATGACGGGAATTGATTTTGTGCTTGATCGTGCGGTTATGTATTCGTAGGAAATAATAGATTTGAGGGGCTCATCAATCTCAGTCAACTGAGCTCAACACAGAACTCCATTTGCGCATGCCATTGATTTCAAAAACAACGAGTACACCATGTATGGGAATCATAATACTCTTGAAGACTGTTGCAATTGTGTTAAACCGGGCTTGTTAACCCACTCACCCTTCACAACTACATGATAATTGGGGTTGGATTTGAGCAATACCGACAAACAGCCTGACGGACTTCCTTTCCTCTTCTTTTTTCTTTATTTGATATATCCCCGCATGCCGGGCATATATGAGTAGCAAAAATTGGATGATGATCTCATGGAGGACTCAACTCCGCGTGGTATACGACCCTTTTAGGGTTTCCGCCTTAGGTGCTTGGCATCGACCACTTGCTTATTTTGTCAAGATAGGCAGTTCACCGCCGTAGAACTTCCGAATTCGACTAGCATGGACATCAGACGTACAAGCTCCGGAGAAAGATTCGCCGCAAAAATGCCTTGTTTGATTGCTTTTCTCATGTGGCTCCGCGTCAATAAACATTCATGGCGGGGTGTTCTCCAGACTTGCTTTTGGGGCAGTTACAGCTCACAATGAATGGAAATATACCCCGCAGCAGACAGATGCTTGATACATAAAGAGAGCTCAGATTTCTCCCCAAGAGGTCAATCAATCAATCAATCAATGTTCAATCTCAATCCCGCACCCAATGTCTCCCCCCAAGCTCAGAGTCGCAATTGCTGGCCTCGGCCGGATGGGCGCCCGCCACGCTCACCACTTTTACGCCCTCACTCCCCGCGCAGAAGTAGTCGCAGCCTCCTCACCGAAGCAGGATGAGCTGGAATGGGCGACCCAGAACCTCGGCGGTGCCCGCACCTATCTCGATTACGACGAG